GATAAATAAAGAAATATATACTAAGATAATAGATAATAGGTATTAATCTTATTATTTAACTATTATTACTTAATAGTATAATGTATTATATTTCTTCTTCTAAATAAATAACTCTACTTCTACTTTTAGATAATACTATTCTAATATCTATTATATTATTAAAAGAAGATTAGAAGTTTATACTATAAAGTAGCTTCTTAGCTATTCTATTTAAGAATAGCTATCTATTATTATAAAATAAAAGATTAAACTAAAGATAATTATATAGTTCTATTATAATATACTAAAGACAAAAGTATAATAAATGCTATATTAAATAGTATATAAGATAGTATATAAGATACTATATAGAATAGTATATAGAATAGTTTATAAAATAGTATATAAGATAGTATCTAATATAGTATATAAGATACTATATAAGATACTATATAAGATAGTATATAAGATAGCTTTATTAGTAAGTTTATTTCTATTTATTAGATATAAGATAGTGTATAAAATAGTGTTATTAAAATGTAATTTTTTATTAGTATATTATATAATATAATTAGAAAGTTATTATATAAGATAGCTTAATTAGTAAATATATTTCTAGTAGTAGAGTATAAGATAGATTATAAGATAGCTTTATTAGTAAATATAATTTTAGTAATAGAATATAAGATAAAATATAAGATAGCTTTATTAGTAAATATCTTTTTAGTAATAATATAAGATGTAATGTAAAATAGTATTAGTTATTAATTATTAAATAATAATAAATTATTTTAGCTAGTAAGTAAGATATTATATAAAATAGCTTTATTATAAATTTATTTTTTAGTATAAAATATAATATACTAGATAAGATAGCTTTATTAGTAAATATTCTTTAATTTATAAAATATAAAATAGTATATAATATAGCGTTATAAGTAAATATCTTTTAGTAGTAATATATAAGATAATAAATAAGATAGCGTAATTAGTAAATATCTTTTATTAGTATAATATAAGATAGTATAAAAGATAATATATAAGATAACATTATTTATAAATTATCTAAGATAGTAAACTATATATTATATAAGATAGTATTAGTATAAATCTTTCTATTAGTAAAGTATAAGATATTATATAAAATAGCGTTATTAGTAAAATATAAAATAATAAATATATATTATATAAGATACTTTTATTAGTAAATATCTTTTAATTTATAAAATATAAGATTATATAAAAGATAGCGTTATTAGTAAATATTATTTACTACTAAAATATAAGATACTATATAAGATAGTGTATAATATAATATATAAGATAGTATTATTTAGAAATTATCTTTTATTACTAAGTTATTTAAGATAGTAAATATAATATTATATATAATAGCTAGAAGTAGCTACCTTAGTAGTAGCTATAATAGCAGCCTTTACATTAGTAATAAAGTTAGAGTTAGGTATCTTTAAAGATGTTAGTTAGTATTAAGTTAGAGAGTAGTATCTAGGTATTTAGAGTTTATAGAGATATAAAGAGTTCTTAGAGATATAAGAAGTTCTTTAAGATAGAAAGATATAGAATAGAAAAAAAAGAAGAAGAAAAGAAGTATTCTTTGTATACAAAGCTTTTTATAATTCTTTCTAGACTACTATTCTCTATACTATAGTTTATATACGCAAATATCTTTTTATATTTTATAGTAGTATAGTACTATAATTTAATATTACTCTAGATCTAAAGTTTACCTACGCTATCTATAATTCTACTCTTCTACTTTTATAGCTAAGAGAAAGGCGCTACGCTCTAACTTCTACTCTTTCTACTAAGAGCTTTCTCTTAGAAAGCTTCTAGATTAACTTTTAAGAATATTTTAATATTTCTCTAGCTTTATAGCCTGTAGCTTACCTATTACTACCTCTAAGTCTACTTCTAAGTCTACTAGAGACGCCTCTATTACTATTACTCTCTATAAGCACGTTATTACTATCTATATCTATAGTAAATGTTAGAGAGAGAGTTTTATTAATTTCTATAGTTATATATAGTAAATATAAGGTGTTTAGAAAATACACTTATATTAAGATTACTATATAAAGTTACTAACTACGTTTTGTTACTCTACTCTATATTAACACTTTACTATAATTATATATAATAGTATTATTAG